AATTATGTAAATACGTTTTATTGATATATTTTATTATTTGTATTTGATTATTGCTTATATATTAATTTTATTTTATTTTTGAAAATGTTTTTAATATACATGAAAATATACTTTTATGAGTATGTTTTGTTATCATTTCACATATTAAAATTTCAGATTTATTGTAACAATATTATATATAAATTTATCTTAGAATTAAACCTAAGGATTTGGATTTATCTAGAATTGAACCTAGGGGTAAATTTTCATGCTACACTCGTCGCGCCTCTATAGCAGGAGCGGTAAATTAAATTTAAAATGATCGAAAAGCGGTCCGGTTTGCTATCTACTAGACAATACAACAATTTTCACATTGAACGCAATAGAAAAAAAATTTGAGAGAAAATGTCATATGGAGTGCCAGCAAAATATATAACGAATTGCCAGACTATATTAAGATGACCAATGATAATGATAGTTTTAAAAAAAACAATAAAGAAGTACTATAAGGAAATTGAAGACAAGAAGACTGAAAAATTAATATATAGATATTATATTAATGAAATATATATTTATAATATAAAAATCGATAGTCGAATGAAAGGCATGTATTATATGAAAACTGTTTTTCATAATCTCTTATACCAGGCACCTCTGTCTGACTGAGCTATGAAAATAATGTATATATGTAAATAAATAAATAAATATATTATATATCCCATAAAGGTCTAATTTTGACAAATGCCAAAAAAAACTATACTAATTTTTGCAAACTTTGACGAATTTTTAAAATTAAACGATTTGTCGTAGGGCCGTAATATTTTAGTATGATCTATAAGATTATGGTATCTACCGTCAAAAAATATTAATAAAAATCGTCGAAAAAAAATTTTTTAACACGTTATTACAAAAAAACGGCCTGGCCGATCTATATCAAAAACTAATCAGCACGATTCCCAACCAATATCTTTCAAATGGTTTTTGAATTTTCAAAATCGATTCAGAATCGCGGGCTAAAACTGACAAACAATAATTCTCATCGAGAAACATCGAATGGCTTTTAAATTTTTGAAATCGGTCCAGCCGTTTTTTTGAGAAAACGTCGATTTACGGCAAAAAATCTGTTCACACACACACATACTTTTTCAAAATTTGGTCTCGTTCGATTCAGAATGGTCGAGAAAACAAATTTAGCAAATCGGATTTTCTGATGAAAACACAAACTTCTCCTACGGGAAGTTAATTAGTAATATAATGCTTGTTTATACTTGTTTATCTATGATAAAAAGTTTATAAATGTGATAATTATTATACTTAATTATAAGAATTATCATTTTAAAATTAGAAGTAACTAAAAGCCATTAGTATATTGTCTAGGCTAAAAGCACACAAGTGATTACAATGGACAGTTACATATTTACAAGAAATGATTAATATTAATTACTTAATGACTAACAATATATTAAAACTACACAGAAAATATTTGTATAATGTAAAAAGATTTTACAAAAACAATAAATTTACACGAACTGACTAATATTAAGTTCTTAATGACTAATAATAGCATTTTGACTAGTGGGGCGGATGGCATCGTGCCTTAAGGCAAATTGCTGGAACTTCCCGTACCAAAAATTACTTTTTTTTTTTAAAAAAATTAACAGTTCTGAAAAAAAAATACTCTGAAAAAATAGATTTTTGAGAAACTGTAAATTTTTGAAAAAAAGACTTTTTGAAGAAAAATTTATTTTGAAATATTTTGGAAATTCTGAACTTTTGCTCAAAGCAATCGCACTGCTTTAACTGGATAGAGACGAAATATCGAAGCGCGGAACCCATAGAAATGTAAACAAAATTTATACTTATTGTTGAAATCTCTATAAAACATCTGATAGTTTGATGTGCATATGTCTAATGATCATTTTTGACCGCCAAATGACATTTTTTTTAATTTTTTTACTAGATCTCCGAAACCGCCAGAAGTGCCTTCATGAAAATTTGATCAATTCGTCATCTTGTTAATACAAGTAAACGGTTTTTTAAATTTCAAATCGGACGCTCCGTTCTCTTAAAAACTGAGTTACCGTTTTTGGCACTTTTGCCCCATATCATTGGAACGGCTAGACTTGCCTTCGCCAAAAACTAACGTAATTACATTATTCAAATCGCTTCAGCCGTGTTCCCGAAATCGTCGACGAAAATTTGTATCCGCACACACACACATGCACGCACACACACACACATACACCATTTTTT